GTGGCATTGGTGTCATAGGCTGCAATGCATAACCCAAGATAGCTCTGCTCATAAACTCAGTATTCAACCGGCAAAAATGCAGTATTATTTTTTTGCTGTAAAATATACCTGTCAAATGCAAAATTGGCTCTTGAATCGAATGGTATCTAAAATTAGAAAAATTTGTCTACAGTTTTAAATAAACATTAAAAGTCACCCGATCACCTGGAATCATTCAAAAAAGGAAAAGAACTTGAGACAAAACTAAATACCAATGCAGCTTATGATGATGAAAATCAGTGAATTACTAAAGCATAAACGCAGCACTGGCAGAATGTGTTGGAAAGGTTTATTGCCGTAAAAAAGAGTACTCGGCACTCAAAACATAGCAATGTGTGAGAGTTCCAGTAAACTGTTCGAGCACACTAATGGAATTTTCTCAAATTTGTGGAACTAATAAGTATGTTTGATGGTGTACTGAAAGAACATCTCAGAACAATCACCTCACACGAGATCCACGACCATTACTAACGTAAAAATATTAAAAACAAGATCATCCAGTAACTGGTAACACAGATTAAGGAAACGGTACTGCTAAAGCTCAGAACAGCAAAATACTACTTGGTAGTTTTGAATTGCACACCTGAAATAAGTAAAATTGAACGAGTGACCCTGATATTTAGATTTGTTCAGTGAACAAAATCTGCAGTAATGTGAGTGTAAATATCCGAGAGCATTCTTTAGAATTTCTGAAATTGAATGAGTCAAGTGGGACTGGAATGACCGAATTACTTCTGCAGAAAGTTTGTGAGCTGGGACTTAACGTTTCAGGCGTGAAAGGACAGGGCTACGACAATGGGGCCAACTTGAATCGCAAAAACAGCGGAGCACAAAAAGAATACAAGACTTGAATCCGTGAGCTTTTTTTCTTCCACGCAATTCCCTTTCATATAACTTAGTGCTAAACGATGCAGCTAATTGTTGTATAGAGGCTGTTGAGTTTTTTAGCCTGATTCAAAACATATATACCTTATCCCCAGCTTCCACACCTCGTTGGAATGTTCTTAAAGAACACATCAAAAGCCTAAATCTTACATTGAAATCAGATGGGAAAGAAGAGATGAAGCAGTGAAGGCAGTCTCGTACCAGCTTGGTGAAATGTGCGATGCCCTTTTTTTTTATTACAGAGGATACTAATCTAACTAGAAGTAACGGTGTTAAATCGCGGGCAGAAGCAAAATACATTGCAGATAAAATTATAAACTTCAAATTTTTGTGCAACCTTGTGGTTTGGTACGATATACTATAAGAAATTAATATATGAAGCAAAAAACTGCATGCAACAAACATTGATCTCTTTCAAGCAGTTGCGCAGCTAGCACAACAAAATCTATCTCCAGAATTATCGGTTTTGTAGGAGGACTGAAAAATGCAAGGGGTTGGCAGAAGAGCTTAATATTGATGCCTACTTTCCACCTGAACTGCAAGTTCAATCTTGTCAGAAAAAATACATTTCGACAGGCCTTTCACTGAGTTAAGCCAGAAATTCAAAGTCACCTTTTTCAATCAAGTATTGGACTTTTCTATACAATCAGTGGAAGAACGTTTTATATAGCTTCAGGAACACAGTAATGTGTTCAAAATCCTGTACGTCCCCAAAGTAGCTGAAATGGGAATAAACGATATAATTCACTAGTGCAACTTTCTTCAAATGGCTCTCACACACAGTGATTCAAAAGACATTGATGCATTTGAGTTATGTGACAAGATAAAAGCTCTGTCCAGAAGAATTGATTTGGTATCAAAACCTAAAGATGTGTTTGCAAGAATAATATGTTGTCCGTGTTTCTTTATTTCTCTGGGAATACTGCTGACACTGCTGGTCACATGCTGCGAATGGGGAGCGCAGTTTCTCGAAATTGAAATTAATGAAAAATTATTTGCGGTCCACAATGGCATAGATCGATTGAACGGTCTTGCAACATTATCAATTGAACATGAACTTGCTCAAAACCTGGACCTGAAGGAATCCCTGCATGCCTTCGCAGTAAAAAAGGACAGACGAGTCACGTTTTCATAATAGGTAAGATGATATGTTTTCCTAACTAAAAAAATTTGTCATCGATGGTTTGGGTGCAATTATTATATTATTAACGCATGGTTTTATGGTTAAACTGAGTGTTTCAGAATTGTATTTGTATGTGTAAATAAACGAGAGGGGTGAGGACGTAGTGCTTATATCTTGCTGGTTAGGTTAGGAGGTCGCCTGTTTATATTTTGCTTATGGCAGTAGAATGTATAAGGCCGGCGCTGTGTATTCATATAACACATGCACAACAAAATGTGTTATTAATTAAAAAATAATAATGGTAAACCACATAACATTACGCACAAGATTCCAACAAAAAAGGGGTAGTTTAATTTAAGCTTATTTTATACCTATTCATTTGTATTTGATACATTTATTTATGTCAAAGTCTATGCCTATAGTGGTATAATATTCTTTTTAATTAGAGAGCAGGAAGATGTTCAAATTCCAAGCATACTTTCTTAGTCCAGTTCTCTCCTAGTTTGTTAGTTAGCAAAGACCTTCTTTCTACTGCTTGGTGTTGGAGTATTCGATCCAGAGATAAAGAAAACTTCAAGATCGAGAACATTGGCTAGCCAGAAGTTAGAACTTCTCGTTATTATTGGATGCATATACTGAGATCTATTCATTTTCTGTTGTTCGAATAAAGTTTTGTCTAGTATGTTTTTCATACATCAAAGAAACGAACACTCATCTAAATACTTCAGTCACAAGAAATCTCGTAATTTTGTGGAAAACTTAGCCGTTGTTGCAAAAAATTCTGTCTAACATTGGTCGGGAATTCGGTTTCAAACTGAAAATACCATAAGTAGACAGAAAGAGATTTTTTTTCACATCAGTATCCGGATATACAATAAAAGTAACGTGCAAATTCCCATATTTATGAGCTTTTCGTGATCCATTTTGGTAGCCATCTTGAATTTCGATCTGAAAAATAATTACAACCAATTTGGAAATTAAATATATGAATTATTTGACCTCAAAAAATTTGTTTAGACTTTTTAGCCAACATCATAACAGAAACATGGCCATTTATGACGAACAACCATCTTGAATTTTTCCATGTATCAGGTGAGAGAACAATGGTGACGTAGACTTCTAAATTATATAGACATAGAAGAAAATTGAGATCAATGTTACTAAATTTTAACCAAAAATTTATACAGGATTGCTCCTTAAAACACGAATTATGACTTGGTATCAGGATACGTAATATTTTTAATGTTATCGGTTGGCGTAAGGCATTATGCATATTGTGCGTCATCGAGATCATGTGATTTCACGCCCTCTACTTTCTAGAACTATCCTGTACTTTGGCGAATGCTCTAGTATTTAATAGATATATGGTAGCTGGTATATAAAAGAGGGTGACAACGTGACGGTAATGCAATGTGTGTGTAGATAGTGAGTAATTGTACTGCAGTCAGAAGTATTGTTGACGTTCGTTGATATAGTGTTTGTTTTAGCGCGAATATTGAAAATAAGTGTATCGTAAAGTTGTATTCGGAAAGAATAAATCAGTTTTATTAAGTAAGGATTTGTGTCGCTAAAGTTTCGTCGGAACGAAGTTACGGAAAATTAATTAACAAACGGAGACGTAACAATATTTTACACAAGTTCAATTTGTTATTTCAAAATACTGTTGGTACCAATCCTAAATTTGTATTTCAATAAACCGTGGTGAGATGTGGACGTTTGTTAAACTCCGTGCCGATCTTGGCATGAGAAATTGTACTGAGCACCTAACACCTGGATATCGATTGACATGTTATTTCAACCAATCAAAATAGTTTTCTATGTATTGAAATCGTACGTGACTGGTAGTCCATCTGTTTTAACTGTCTACTACCAATTTAGACACAGCTGGTTGGTGCCATATGCATTTTGTTCATCGTCCCCATTACTTTAATTGTACATACCCAAATATACAGAAATGTAATACATTTCATGTTTTATAACTGTATTTAAACACACACATAAGTTTGATTATATAATTTTTATGTAATGTATACCGAAATACTAAATAAAGGTTTTCGAACAACACCATGTTGTGTAGTTGGTGTATTATTATATAATATTCTTGATTTTTATTCACAAGTTTTTATAATAATTAGTTTTTGCTGGTGTTTTATAATTACTTCACTGATTGGTGCCATTATGTTATTCTAAATTATTTGTAAAATATCTGAAGGAACTTTTCATATAATATATTGCTGTTTCATGTAAGCATAAGTTAATATGTTCATTCATGAAACGAACTTAAAGTACCTTTATAAAATAATCACCAACAACCTCCCCCCCCTCCTCCTCCCCCCGGTGGCTCATTGCCAAGTCTGAGACCTCATAACGTTAAAAATCGAGTTCATTATGTAGCTTTGCGCTTAACAACAACAACAAAAAACCATTAACAGTAAATTAATTAGAGTATGAAATACGCAAGTTCACTAAACAATATATATATATATATATATATATATTTCTAAAATTCTTACACTTCCAAAGTGTGAGTAATTTCAGTAACTACAGTTCTTTCGAAATTTCTCTAGTTAGCCTTGTTTGAGATTGATTTCCCATACTGTTATCAATGGAAAACATGTATTCAAATAGATAGACGTGCGCGTTGCCAATAGTTGAGTAAAAATGTAATTTATACAGTAAAGAATGCTTGTTTATGCACATATGTTAGTACTCTCTCTATATTTCGGTTTTAGTCAACAAAAAACGCTTTGCAATGAAAGCAACAACTTTTTAAAGACATGATTGGCCAAGAGCGACGCTCTCATGGTCACGTAAACAAAGGTAACTGGGAATGACTAGAAATGAGCCCTGACATTGCAGCTGCTATATCATATCCGCCGTTAGCTGCTCGAAGCCTATGTTCAAACGATACTGTGACTATCTCTGTAGAATGTGATAGAGGGCGCCTTGTGCGTTCATAGTAAAGCCTAAAGGTAACAGTGTATAGACTGTTGTCATGTTAGTAGGCTGTTCCGAAGTCAATAGTGTTGTTATATTACTGTTGAAAGTACTAAATTGAATGTTATTTCAACTCAGGGATGATGAAAGCAATGGTGTTATACTGTTATGTGAATGTTCAGTAATATTTAACATATGCTTTCATAACAAGAACACAAAAAAGTAAGTCCTAATTGACCGTCAGCATAACGGCATAAGCCTACTCTGGGTAAACTGAGTAACAATAATAGAACGTTATTATTAATTTTTCCTGTTTAGGTCGCGTGCGTATATGTCGTTTCGCTAGTGCTAGTACTAGTACTACCTCGTAAACTCTGGTCTCGTAAGGGTTACATATCGTTTCGCGTTTATTGTACATAAAAATCTACGGTAAGATTCTGTACTAATACTAGTGAATAATTATTATGTTTTAGAACTTAGATTTAGAAGTTGACTTGTCAGTGATGTGTGATACGATGTTGACTAATTCAACGTATTTCCTGCCACAAAAGTACAATGTTATGGAAAGAGTCAAAAGAAATATAGAAAATTAAAGATGTTAGACATTAATTAAAGTAAAATAGCTTAGAGAAAAGGAATTTAATATAGTTCTAACTGAATCATTAATTTAATGTGAATTTTATAAAAAACGTTGTGATATTTAGAAATAATGAGTAACTTGTTTAGATTATTCTTAATATTATGAATTATTAAACTTAACATAGAATAATTCAAAATAGTGTATGTTACAAATATTATTGACCATAATAGTGTAGGTAGATATTGTTGTTATACTAAAATTTTACATTTTTTTAGGAAAAAATGTATTACATTTCACATGTGTTATATGTAAAAAAATAAAATATCAAGAATGATCAGTGTTTATAACTATAAGTAAAGTAAGTTTGAAAACAAAAATTTGTCATCCTGCAATCTAATCTGTGAATTTAATGAGATTTTTAGTTATTCAGTATTTAACTTTTTCTGTTTCCATGACAGTTCTATGAAGCTTTGAAAGTTGCCTATGACCAGTCTGTATCTGGATTTAAGATTTTTTGTTTTCACTTTATCAGTTTAGAAAACATTTACAACCTGCATGTTTAACCTCAAACAGTCTTGGTCATCTGAGATTTTTATCCATTGTTTTTTGTTTTTTTTAGGAAATTAAAAATTTTTGTGTTTTCTTCCATAATAGTTGAACATATTTGATTGGGAATTATTGCTTTAGTAAACTGTACTAAATCTCTACACCATATTCTTGAGCTTGAGTATGAATAGAATATCATGCAGAGTAATATTAGTATGTTTATTTTTAAAAATATGATATCTATGTAGATTTGATGAGTTCTGACAATTTTCGTGTTAGGTTAAAAGCATTAGGTTTGAAGATACTATAGTGAGCTTGGTGGAGTGTTGTCTATTTGATGTTTGAAGACCTGGTATCCTAATAAATAAAGCAGATGAATTAAGTCAAAACAATCTGTCCTGACAAGGGTTTGAACCCAAGGCCAACCAGCTTGCATAAGACCAGTGCTTTTTCTATACCTCTGAATTATCAGTACTTCAAATTAAAGAACTCTTCATCTACTTGATTACAGTATTCAAGATGACCCCTTGAATATTTCTTGGTTAAAAGACACACATCATAGTGCTAGTGTACAATTGTTTTCTCTTCAGAATGTAAGATAAGTACATGTTATTTATTTAGAACGTTCATGATGGTTATTGAGGGGACAAACTTCAAGATAATCACAGAAATAAAAGTTTTCTGGTTATTAATCAGTAGAATTATTTCTCCTAGCATGTGATTTGTAGATTGGTTAATTAGAAATGAGGTTTTCATGTCAGCTTGGTTTCTTTATAATCATGTTCCATGGGTTTTTAAACAAAATAGATACATTTAGTTATTTTATGTCAACGGCATTTACTCCACAACTTTTTTTTTATGTTAGCAAACAAATATTGTAATAGGACTCAATCTTTGGCTTTCGTAGAAAATTCTTGAAACTAGTAAGCAATCATTTTATATTTTTCACAGTTTACATTAAGTACATTTTACTTGAGGGACATGTGTTTTTTTTAAATAACAAGTTCTTATGCTATCATTTTGTTTATTAAGCTTTACTAGCTAGTATAGACATAACTGTATTTTATACAAGCACTTGATTAATTTGCAAGGAATCATAGGTTAATTAGAGAAAAAAATAATAATAAAAACAAACAAGACTTTAACTATATATGTTTCAAATTATTCATAACCCATCTTTAGCAGCTTACCACAGTCATTGCCTTAACACAAGAAAAGAACATGAGTCAGTCATATTGATTTAACTACTTTTGAGACTTAGGGAAAAGACTACTGAAGTCAGCAACTAAAATGTAGTATTGTTGTATAAAGTTCACTACTTGTGTGCATATCTTTAGCAATAGGGTAGTAAATCTACAGAATAAACTGCCATTTATAGTAGTTCAGTTTTGTACAGGAATTTAAGAAAATGATTTGTAAATACTCTGGGAATCAGAACTACCACAGTAACAAAATTCCTTAAAATATTTTACTAGTATGGACTATTATGTGAAACAAAATTCCAACTTCACAAACAGCTGACTAATTAGTGTGATTGATATAATTGACTGATGATTTTAGTTTTACAATTAAGGAAAACATTAAAAGCGAATTATAATATTGTTCACAAAAGGTTTACAGAAAGCTCAAATTTTTATATTCAATATTTTTCAAGTATAAAAGTGTAGTCTTTGGACCTGGAATGTTATATATATATATATGAGTTAAACAAATATTAATAAAATGTGTTATTTTTTTCTTCTTCTTCAGACCTACAGAAAGGGGTATTATCAAGGAAATACTTCTATGAACTTCTGAGCATATGTCTAAATGTATAACTCCCAGATTGGTATTTGAACTTCAAGCTGAACACAAAGAAAAGCTTTTATGCAAGCAGCATAGTTTTATAAGAGCTGGCATTTATTTAAAGAGTTGTGAGGTGGTTGTTCACAAGATGACATCATCCATGACATCTCGAGCTACCATGTCAGAATACCAATGGTAAATTAAAGAAAATTTTTTAGCATTCAATTAGACACATTATGTATACAAAATACTTGAGTGGTGACACTTTTGTAATCATTGTTTCTTTATATTTGATAGGATGAATATAATTTCTGAATTTTGGTCAAAATGTCCTAAGGAGTAAATTTCCCTATTTGAAAATCTTAGTACTTTTTCTTGTACTGTATCCTTATGTAGTTTTCATTAGTTTTGTAACATTCTATCTTGTAAAAATTATATGTAATTTGTTTATGGCCACCTGTTTTAAATGTATCATGCCATCTAAGTATGCACCATTTTTCCTCCTCCTTTTACCCATTAAGCTTCTTCACTCACTAAAATCTAATAATTTAATTTCTAATATTTTTCTTTGTTGGCTACAAACAATTACAATGATTAACACCTGAATACCACAACTTTAATGTTAGTTCTTCCTAGATATACATGATCTTAAAACCAATATAAATAGTTTGTTAAGTTTTGTTTTTGTTTTTTAGGGTCTACTCATTGATGGACTCTTCTCGGGTATCTACATTTTTAATATCAATTCTTTTGATTGTTTATGGCAGCTTTAGGTGAGTTCTTGTTTTGCCAGATAATTGTTTGATTGATTGTGTAGTTTAATCATACATATTTAATCAGTAGAAATATAAATGTGTTTGTTCAATGTATAAGTATTATTAGAAGACACAACAGTTATATTAATATTATCATCTGTGATTTTCAGAGATGAACTGATTTCCATGCAATTATGAGATAGGTCTTCTTAATAACAGCAGGGTCAAACAGAAAATTTGCAGAGTAACTGTGTTTGAAAGCACAACTGAGTTTTAAATTTCTGTGAGAAAGTAAGGAGACTAGACACATTTGATGGAAAAATGAACACAGTCTTTATTCACAAATAAAAACAAAAACAAAACTGTTTGTATTTGCTTAGACACTTACACAAGTACTTCTACCAAGTCAGGGTATAGATTCACAGCTTTCCATCTCTTGGGATTGACTTCTTTAGAAAAGAACTAGGTATAACAGATGCCTCAATTATGCAAGAAAGCTTGTATACTTTCTCTTGTGACTGCATCACCACATAACTGGTCATTATCTCACAACATTTGTTTACAACATACAGGCATCATCCACTTGGCCAGCAATGGACACTGCAGTCACTGACCTTTTCAATGTGGAAATACTGCAACTTCCCCTTGGGCAGAATAGATATTATCTGTTATATAGAACAAATACACAAAGGCAACTGGAACAAGGCAGTTTCAACAGTTTTCAGTATCATATGTTTATGCAAAAACTACACGGAAACTAAGAGAATGAAAATTTTTTTTTATTTATTAATTCCTATATTGCTAAAAATAGGTATAAAACATGATATGCCTGCATATAATACATTTAAAGAAACATAAGTATAATAAAGCTACAGCATTGAGGAAAACAAGACAATTGTATGTTTCACAAATACGTCATTTATTCGTGACCATGGTTTTGCCAGTAAAGGCATTGGGTACAGACTGAAATGTTTTGTAATCAGCAAAGAAGATTTGGGTAAAAGAAGAGATCAAGAAGTGGTTCAATGTTAGAGACAATGTAAGTGCACACCTTAAAATAGTTCACAGTGAACTGTGTTTCCATATTCACGTAGTGGAATTTGATGTTTTAGACAGAGACATGTGTGAAAATGTAAGTCACCTCATACATGGTACTCACATGTAGCAGAAAAGAAAACTGGTTAATTTGACTAAACATGAAAATAGTTCAAATCTAGTAGAGGATTAACATTTACAATTCCATTCTAAGTTAGTAACCCTTTTGAAATCTGAGTTCACAAAAACTGAGTCTAATCTACTTAGTAAAGGTTTAAAAATTTTGTTCTAAAACCAGGTTAAGTGTAAAATACTTTGAAAATCTTGCAGTAGGTATAGAGGTAGCACTTAATGTTGAATCTAACTCTGTAACATAGAATATACGCCCTAAAATCATTCAAACGTCTTCTTCAGAGAACTGTGCTAAAAATGGAGATGAGGAGTCCAAGCAAATAATATCAAAAAAATCTATAATTAATAATGATAGTTTAGTAATCAGAAAAGCGAACAAAGGTAATACAACTATTGTACTTGAAAAACAAGATTATCACGGTAAAATCAATGACTTTCTTGATTCTAACAGTTTCATGCTCCTAAACATAGACCCCACCAAAATCTTCAACAACAATATCAAATCTTTGTTGAACAACAGCAATAGGCTACTTAAAGATCTCCAAGCTAAGTCTTTAAACATTATGAATCTTCACCTGCCACGTCTGTATGGACTTCCCAAACTACACAAAATTAATATCCATGTCAGACCTGCTGTTTCCTATACTAATGCTCCCATTAAACAAACTAGTACAGAAAGCCCAAAATATTTTCAAAAATTTAACTGGTTTTAAACCTATATTTGGTATAACAAACTTTGGAGCTTGTAGAAAAAAATAAAAATGTAGAGATACCAAATAATGCCAAAATTGTTTCTTTTGATGTTTGTAGTCTGTTCAGCATTAAACCTGTTAGTGAATGTAAACAAATTGTTAGGGATTTAATGGATATAGAAAAAGTAAACCCTGTTCAAGTCCAGGAATTAAAAACTATAATAACCACTTGCCTAGGTCAGAACTACTTCAAATTTAATGACCAAATATATAAACAGAATGATGGGTTTCCCCCTCTCTCCTTTACTTTTAGAAGTTTTCTTGGATAATTTAGAGAATAAATTGTTTAGGGATGAAAATAACAAAAAAATGTTAAATATTGGTATAGATATGTTGATGATGTGATTTGTCTCTGGACAGGATAAAAACTTGACAATTTTGTAACTTTTCTAAATTCACATAAATTTATTATGCAATTTGATAAAAATGGAAACATAAATTTTTTGGGTTTAAATATTCACATAAATGACAGCATACATTCCTTCAAAATCTTCAGAAAACTGACTTCTAGTGACACTATCATACATGCTTCTTCAAGATATCCAATACCTCACAAACTTGCTATGTTCCATAGTTTGTTACACAGACTTATCACTGTATCCTTGTCCTTTGAAGATTATGAAACTGAATTAAAACCTATAAAACAAACTGCTGTTAACAATGGCTATACAACAAAGTTAATTAAAACATTGTTATTTATAAAACTGAAAACCATAAATCTAAAATTATTATATCCACATACTGTACCAAACGACTACAAAAAGAAAAAGAAATGATTTAAGATGAGCTACATTGGAAAACTTTCTCACAAAATATATAACACATTAAACAAAAAAATCTACAGACTAGTCTTCTACTGTAAAAACAACCCAGGAAAAATGTTGTGCAACAACAAAGACAGAATCGGAAAGTACAGTTACAGTGATGTTTACCAATTAACATGTAAAGACTGCAATATTGTGTATGTAGGTCAAACAGGATGTTCCATAGAAACGAAAATTAAAGAACATTCTAGAAGCTGGAAACTAAGGAAAATGGATTCAACCTTTGTATCCCACCTTATTGAAACTAAACATTAATTTGATCCAGAAAAAACTGCAAATTATTACATATTTCTGAAAAAGGTAAAAACTAGACAGTCTGGAAATTTTAGAAATAAATAGAAGTCTAAAACAAACCTAGAAAAAGTTCTTAATGATCATACCAACTTAAGCTCCTCTCCACTTGTCTCCAGGTGAATGTCAATGTTACTTCTGGTTCTTTGTTTATACATATATAAACCTGTTACACTTCAGTCTGTACCTGGTAATGCCTTTACTGGTGAAACAATAGTCATGAATAAATGATGTATTTGTGAAACATACAATTGTCTTGTTTTTCATCAGTTTTGTGATTATGGAGTTTCACCAAGTACCAATGGTTTCAATTATCAAGTAAGCAAAACAGTACCTTTCTTTCTTTCTTATGTATATATATTCAGAGTACTTATTTCTGATCCAGTAAGTGTTTGTGTGTATTTGCATGTTTGAATATTTATATACACAATATTTGTCAGAAAACATGTATAAGTAAACCATTAATTAAATTTATGTCTGTATTATGTACTTGAAATAACAATGGATATCTTGTTGGACTAACACTTCTTGATATAAACTCTGGCTGTATATTCATTCCCATTCTTTCATATGACTGCAACCCTACCTACCCTACTAATCTGACATTTTAAAATTACTTTTAATACAAAACTAACAAATATATTTAGTTCTCATATTTGTTAAGTAGTTCAACAAGATTTGATTTGAAAAAAAAATTAAGTATGAAATATGCTGAAAATATTGGATAATTCCTAATCTTTTTTGTGGTTTGCATGAATTCATGTGTTCTGTAGTTAATATTGAAAAAGTCATACATCTTTCTTTTGTGTGTTCAATTTGAATTTTATGTTAACCATTAGTAAAGGTTAAAATATTTTAATATTGCATTTAACGTGTGAAATCTACACACAATATTGTAATGAACTAGTTTTGAATGTTGTTTGTATGGGATTTGAAGCCATAAAAGCTCAGTAGCTAGAGCAATGATTTCAAGACACTGATACAAGTTGGAGGATCCTTAATCAAATTTTCATTAAAAGGAGATTGCTTTTCAGTTATTTCAGATTGTTACAGTATTCTGTGAATAATACGCATATGACTACTTTTCAGGTCTAAGTAGTGTTTAAAATTGTTTTGTATTTACTTGTATCCTTGTGTAACAATACACAGCTTTGAGAGCTATATAAAAGTAGTAAACTCTAATATAACACAATAACTTTTTACAAAACAGTTATTTGAAGAGTATATGAAAATAATACTGTAGTTAATATTGAAAAAGTCATACATCTTTCTTTTGTGTGTTCAATTTGAATTTTATGTTAACCATTAGTAAAGGTTAAAATCTTTTAATATTGCATTTAACGTGTGAAATCTACACACAATATTGTGTTATTTGAAGAGTATATGAAAATAAGCTGAAGCATAAAATGTACATCCAAACACTTTTTATATTTAACATGTTAAAGCTTCAGCAGTCAGACCATTTCAACTGCTAGTTCAAGTTTATAATTACTTTCATTGTATTATAGATATACAGTAGAAGTTAATTGAAGTTTACTCAACCAGAAGTGTTGGAATATGTGTGTGTCTAATTGTTAAACATCATCATATGGTGGTGCAAACAGTTGTATGTTTTCTAGCATGTATAAAACATTGGATGAAGATCTGCTGGAGTACAAAGTAGATGAGATGAATTTAAAGATATAATTGCATATCAGTACTGTGTTGTGTAATTTGAGATTAAAATTTTGCTTAAAAACTAAATAGTTAAAAACAATTAACCAAATATGCACAGGGTCAGACCAATGGACTGAAAGTGAAATTTGTTTTAAGTCTTAAACCTGTATTGTGTAAACATAAATGTGGAAAATTAATGTTTTACGTACAAGCTGTTTCTGTACAAGTTTCTTTATATATGCCTGTTGCAGACTTGAAATGCTAAAAGAGTGCTCCATAATATCAACCTATTTCATATCACTTACTTTTACAAGATGTTGGCGTTTGG